GTTAAAATGGATGAACACCAGTAATAAAAGCCGGAGAAGACATTACGTAAGGTTGATTGAGTTTAATTAGCAAAACTCAAAGCGACTCTTTCTTCCTCGATGTTTTGATTAGTAAAAACATCCGTTGATCAAAGCTGATGACACTTGCAGAGTAGAGATGAGCTGTAGAAAAACGTGACTTCTCAAATCGGAGAAAAATGCGAATAAAAATTACTTAACGTGCAATTTGAAGATCAATGATCCATTTTTCCTTCACCTGAGGAAAAAAAATCTTAAATTGTATCGATCGAATTCTCAAGAATGTAAAAAACCAAAAGAAAAACAAAAAAAAACACCCCCCCCAAAAAAAAAAAAACACACAAATTAGTTGAAATGAAAGTACCACAGCGGTGCGCTCAAAGCGAATTCAAATTGAAAGAAAAAAGATTTCATTTTGGAGACGAGTCAGTTTTACAATTTTTAGAGGGGAGAAATGCTCATGATAATATTAGCTGTTTTCTTATATTGAATAGTCCTAGGTATGACGATAAACTACACCCGGCAGCAAGGCCTCTGATCAGGAGTTTGGAGGTTTTGAGGTGCGTGGAACCACCACAAGTGCTGTTGTTCCCAGGTCATACATTACCCGAAATGTAGCACTTATTAGGGACCAAACTATAGGCAAATAGTGAACCCCAAAATTATATGAAAATATAAAAGTACATATGTCATAGTAAACATATCACTATTGCATTTTATACAAAATATTAGCAACGATAGATATTTATAGTGGAATTAACAACAACACCTTTTTAAGTAGAATTAGCAACAATAGATTGTATAGCAAAATGACCGAAAATACATTTTACCTGTAGTTGAAGCTATAAGACGTTCTAATACATAATGTTCAAAATATTGGTATTCAATAACCCATAGAAGTTGATATCTCGATATATCGAGAAGCCAGTGCGAGTGTCAATCCAAATTTATGAACTCTTTTTTTAAAACAGTTTTCAGAAAAATAAGGTTCTCAGTTCAGTAGGTGTCATAACTCTTTGCAGTATTGATGGAATTCTTTAATAACGTTTTGTTTAATGTATTATCGAATGGAAAAAAAATCTTATTTTCTCTTCGAGTTACCCGTGATAGCCATTATAGTTGGTGCTGCTGTTGAAAGTTCTCAAGTGATGTGTTTTTTGATATTTGTTTGTCATTCTGTAGTTCTCCAGGAAAATGAAGGGTCATCGCGGAGATAGTTGCTGAAAAGCTATTTGCAACCACTGATCTGAAAAAGGTTGTGTACACCTGGTTTTATATACATATATATATATATATATATATATATATATATATATATATATATATATATATATATTCATTTAATGGATATGAGTTTGTGACCCTTTTCACGCTTTGTCGATCATCAGGCAAACTGTGATTATAGCAAAAGCGTGAAACTGTGGCTCACAAACTCATATACATACAAATGAATATATATATATATATATATATATATATATATATATATATATATATATATATATATATATATATGACTGATCCGAATGTAATGAGAAAAAGTAATATATAAATCGTAACGTTCACAGTATTAATTCAAAAAGACGGCTCAATACCGATCGTAGAGCAATAATTATTTATTATAATTTTTTCATATAGACAAAAAAAAGTTGCATCTATGTAGAGAGTAAATTGTTTTTTCTATATGATATATTATATATATATATATATATATATATACACACACACATACACACACACACACACACACACAATATATATATATATATATATATATATATATATATATATATGCAATCTAATTGGCCCTGATCTGGCATCTCGTCCATCGCCATCTCTCACAGACGTGCCGTTGCCTCCCTCTGTCTTTTTTACAAATACTTTCATGGTAACTGCTCCGATGAGCTTCTTTCGCTGATTCCCAGACTTCATGAATTTAATCGCTCAACTAGGCTGGCATTTCGTTCTCATCTTTTCACTGTCGAAACTGTTAAATGTAGCCGTCTCTTCTACTCCAATGGCTTCATGTCTCGCACTTCTCGCCTGTGGAACTCCCTCCCAATTTCCTGTTTTCTTGATAACTATAAACTCCAACTATTCAAATGTAACGTCAATCGACATCTCCAGATGCCCTGATCTATCCCCCAACCGGCTCTTCATCTTTTCCTCTATCACTCCTCTTTGTTCTGGCTCCTACTCTGAAAACCTTTGCGTGCTAGTGGCTTCCTGCCTTGCTTGGGTTGAATGCTTAAAAAAATAAATAGAAAGATTGATCTCATCATTATTATCAATATTATTAAAGACAACCTTTCGACGAATAACCTCTCGCCATATTCACGTTTACAATGTTTTCTTGATTATTACTTTACTCTGCCTCAGTGCTGACAGTACTTCTTTGTTACTACTTGTATATTGTTTTAGTAGCTGATCCAGGGATTGGGCTCATACCCACTAGATGAATGTTGTACAAACTTTTGGGGTGTGGAGTCATACCTATTTGTATTATTTACAGTCAGACTAGTGTTTTCATTGTTGTTACAATCACGTAATTTCGGCCAATAAGCTCTCTGGTCTTTTTCAACAGCCTGTCGATCCGACTAACTCTTTCGAATTTCGAAATCAACATTTCTCCCAATCTAAATTGTACTCATTCTACTTTTCATGTCTCTGTTAATTTTTCAGTTATTTTTAATCCGGTTTCCACTGAGTACTATCCGGCCGAGTCATTAAACTCACAATTATTATGTCCATAAATTCAATAACCAACCGAAATTTACATGCACATGCTCCAAGTTAGTGGAAAAGCCAAGACCAACTTTGCATTTCCCAACTCCCATCGATAGTGGAAATAATCGATTTTTTCATGCTTCTACGGCAGTTTTCATGTACTTTGCGGCCATTTTTTACTTGCCTGAGTGAGAGCATATAGCTGGCTGTCACGAATAGGCAGGAAGATTCTACTGGCCAGCGTGAGAGCCAACAGCTGACTGAAACAAATGTTAACTAGCATGCAAAAAAAATCGATAGCTGCATTCGCCACAAGTGGGAAAAATTTAATCTGCCTTGTACTTTACTCCAAATGGCTCATTCCCTTGCTTAAACTCAAAGTTGATTCTCATTCCGTAGAACTGGTGTTGGGTGTGGAAAAGTATTTGTTGTTAACATTCTTTTTTCATTCAGTTTTTCCAGTTACAAGTTCTTTTTTCATAACAGATTTAATGTTTAGTATAGAGCTTAGAAAAAATTCGCAGTGTGAGATAGGCAAGAAGTAAGGCATGTAGCAACATCAGCACGGCAAAGGTCACTCCCTTAAAGGCAAGGAAGGGCAAAAATATTTTAAGTCAAGTGATAGCGATTGCTGTATGAGTCGTACGATTTTTGAATCAAGCACAGGCAACGCCGGGCCATGCTGCTATATATATATATATATATATATATATATATATATATATATATATATATATATATATTCCTTGGTCTGTCGACTTAATACTTAATCTTAACTTTTTCAAGGCTAGGGTTAAAAATTATCTTGCTCTCCTATACACACAAAATGGACCCCAAACGTAACACACTACCTCAGTTGCTTTAACACCTTATGAAAAGCGAACCTATCTGTAATATATATATATATATATATATATATATATATATATATATATATATATACACCTGAAAAAATTATTTTGTTTAGCCTCTCAGGGGAAGAAGTGTGAGTTTGTAAACAGTGACTATTACTGCTACCAATGCAATGCTTTTCGATAAAACGAATCGAATTCTGTCAATCGTGTGTTTATCTAAAAATTAATACGCTTTAATTCATCATCAACGGCTTAGGGGTAGATTTTCCGAAGCAACCAGACGTCTAGCCTCACTGATCAGCTTTCATAAGGCGAAGAAGTCTGTCTGTGGATGACAATATATATATATATATATATATATATATATATATATATATATAGCTGACAAGATTGTGCGTTTTATACAATAAAAACAATTCAACTATTTTCATATATCCGAGCGCTTTCGGTTATTCTTTTAGTCATTGCTTTAACGTTTATTGTGTGTATGATGACGGTTACGTTTCAAATTATTACTACTCTATAAACCATACCCATCCCACTGTCTACTAACTAAAAATGAATAGAAAAAAAAAAGAAAACTTCATAAAAAAATATGAAATGAAAATAAATATTTTAAACCAACAATTTAACCTAGATGCCAGAATAATTTGAAACACAACCGTTACCACCCACACAATAAAAGTTTTGATAATACCATAATGCACTATTGACTAAACGTGCATATATATATATATATATATATATATATATATATATATATATATATATATATTGTCGAGCTAAAGCACAACACCCATAGCCTGAAAATTACTTTTTAACCAACTGCCACCGCTGGGTGTTGACCCCAACGTCTACTTTTATATTCTACACACACTCTATCTCTGATATTGAGCAATTTAAGCCATACATATAGCAAACTATATTTGTATTATATATATATATATATATATATATATATATATGAACCATTTTTATTTACTCTCCTTCGATGGGTTTATCTGTTTAACTTTCAAATCTACATAGATTTCAAATTTATTTATTTCCAACGTGTGGCTATTATATTTGTTTTTACTGTAAAATCGAAATCGCTTACAAAATTGCAAGTGGGTCACTCTTTTGTGTTTAATTTTATTTTTGTGTAAAAATTCGTCTGGGCCATCTTAATGCATTCATTTTTGATGCGATATACGTCTCGTCATTTTGTCTAAATGAGTGACATTTGCGATTTAAAATAAATGTATCTTTTTAGTATTTGCCTTGGTGTAATTAGTGTTTCCAGGAAAGAAAAACTTCAGTATTCAAAAGCCAAAGCCGAGAGAGAGAAAAGTTAGAAAAATATGGAGGAAGAGAGTGGAAAGGTAAATACTGTAAGGAATTAAAAGCGAGAGCGAGTAATACAAATGAATAGACAGGTTAAGATAACGGCAGAGAGCGTGGAAGAGAGAGAGAGAGAGAGAGAGAGAGAGAGAGAGAGAGAGGCAGAAAAAGAGAGAAACAAAGAAAGTGATATATAGAAAACCATGTACATCATTTACATTATTCGGGCTGTTGTCCTTATGTTTGTCGCCATATTTATTACAACATTTCGGCCGTTGTAAGCTCCGGCCTCCTTCTTCAGGTGGTTGGAATGTCGAATATAGACTGTTCTAATTCAACGTGCCATGTCAGTTATCAGTTATCTGCTGTTAATTTCCCTCTGAAGGTTCTCCACTGCCTTAACCGGGAATTGAACTCACACTCTTTGGGTCCTGTCACTGCATCTAACTAACGCCTATATCCACTGTGCCATTTGTGTACGAATTTCTGGATATTATAAACCTAATGTCTAGAGCAATCTTTTTCTTTTACCAGTGCCTATATTGCAATTTTTGCTGTTATACTTCATGTTTTTTACCAGAGCTCATATTGCAATTTTTGTTGCTATTATCGCTTTTCTCTGGCACGCCTTATTACTGGTTCCCATATTGTATTCATTTCTATGCTTGGTCGGCTCAGGAGATTTTTGTGGCCTATCATATGTGCTGATTGCTTAAGTTTACGAATTTTCCAATGGTGTTCTTTGTCTATGATCTCAACCTGACCCCACAGAGGGCGGTTATCTCCCTTCTCTATCCATATGTGGACAGCAACGCCTGGTTTTTCCTCACCCCCTCGTGTTGCAGCTTTCAGGTGTTCTTGAAGCCTAACCTTGACGGGGGCGGCCTGTCTCTCCTTTATATTTCTTTCTGCAGCTGCATGGGATATCGTACACACAGTCTTTAGTCATGTTCTCCTCTATGGGGGTTCTTACTCGGGAGAGATATCTGCAAAGTGTCGTCAAGCTTTTGAAGGTTGTCCTGATATTATATGGACCGCAGATCCTTTGTATTTTCTCTTAACCCCTTCACATAAGGTAGGCAGACTGTTTTCTGAGCGTTGTTGTCCTGCTGTTGTACCCATCTATCCCAGTTTTTTGGGGCTGCTGCCATGTACCCAGGGTAGTTGTTACTTTGTGGGGTACTACTTATACTGACCAATTCTTTATCTAATGTCTCTGGGTCGCCACTTATGACTTTTGCTCGGTGTTGTAAACAGCGCACGATCCCTTTCTTTACGCTGTATGGATCGTGGAAGTTGAAATTGAGGTACTGTCCGGTGAATGTCAGTTTACGGTATACAGATGTCTTGAACCTATGCTCTGTTCGTGAACATCCAGGAATGGGAGTGTGTTGTTACTCTCTTTCTCCATTGCGAACTGTATCGAAGTTCTTATTGAGTTTACATGGTTCAGTAGAACCTGAACATCTTCCTGGTGTGGCCAGAGTATGAAGGTGTCATGTACATACCTTAACCATATAGGTGGCTTTAGAGATATAGATTCTAATGCCATTTTCTCAAAGTATTCCATGTATATATTCGTCGTTGCTCGTGATAATGGCGAGCCCATTGCTAAGCCCTCATCCTGTCGATATATGTGTGATCTCATTCCGAAGTATGTTGTTTGTGTACAGGAAGTCAACATCTCCATCAGTTTATCTACTGGAATACTGGTCCGTTCTTCTAGGGATGAATAAGAGGCCAATTTGTCTCTGACTACTGAGAGTGCCTCCGCCTTGTCAGTGCAAATACATAATAAAGAGGTAGACGTTCCACAGTACTTAAAAAAAAATGTTTTTGGAGGAACTTCCCATCAAAAGCGGAAAGAGCGATATAAGATACTTGACTTGAGAAACCCACTTTTAAAATGTTTTAAGAGAAAGACCTTATAATTTCTACCGGCAGCAGTTCTAAATTCTCGGTCAATAAATGTCGAATGTTTCCTTTTAGGGTAAAGACAAATATTTCCATTACAATTGCATACGTATTCTGCTCATGACATTCCCAGGATTCATTTGCAGATCTCGATTTCTGTTACTTCAGGTCTCACCGTGATTTACGAGGAAATTGTCTAGCATTCACTGTCACATAGAAGATTAAATATTACGCAACACCTTTTAGTCTTTCCTGGATATTCGTCTGTCAAATTGAGTCGTTATTACACTATCTAGATAGTTAAAATTCTGCACCTGTTGGATTTTGATGTCACTGAGGCATAATTTAAACCAAGAGTTGCCTCTTTCTCTAACAACCATACATTCTATATTCGTTCAATTAATAGTTTGTCCTTTCTTTTTACCTTATGCAAAGTTGCATAAATAACTCGTATAAAAATAATTTATAACTCTTTCCTAGAGAACAATTATTTGCAATGAATTGCTATATGTGTCCTTGGTAAGTATATGTTCCCGTACGATCAGCGAAGTAACATCGAGTCTGGTTAGCACCTAGATGGGGGACAATTGGGAATACCAGGGGCTGTACGCCTGGATGTGCGGCTGATGTAATGGATAACGGGTCTGAATTGGACAATGGAGTCGGGTTCATTATATTCACTGACACGCAAACACTCTTTGGAAAGGTATGACTCCAAATCTTCTATCCCCCAGCTATGGGTTAATTAATATGACTTATATCTATAAATCATTATTATCTCCCCAAAATTCTTAAAATCTAAAAAAAAATCTTTTGGCTTTAAATAACCTGCAAAAGGTTGATAAACCGTAATCAATCAAAAGAAATATCACTGATCGTTTTCTCACTTCCTGAAACCTGTTCTTTTATTGACTTGTTCCCAGAATGTTGATATGTCTTCCCGGAGTGACTGGGCTCTTTCTCCCAACACACACGCGTACGCGGGTGTATCACATACTCAAGTACTAACTTTTAATGATTTATTATTTTAATTTCTATTTAAATGCACACTAGTGAGTTTTCTTTCATTTGTTAATCAGTTATGTAAAAAAAAAACAAAAAAAAACATCAAAATATGGCCTCTTGAAATTATTTTATTTCCGTTAACCTCAACTAACATCATTTCTTTTTCTTTATGTGCCGTGTCCCTTCAAGCCGTAGGTGATCATGTCTCTCCACAATTTCCTGTCATTCGTAACTATCAATATTTTTTCTTTTTTTTGTTAACTTTCCTAAACCCTGTTCTGTCATCCATTTACTCAAGCTCACTAAACAGGTTATACGTTGCTTTTTTCTGTCCTTCTTGCCTTCAATCTGTCCTATGAGTATCAGATTTTCCAAGCCCCCTTTCCTCAATATGTGCCCTAGAAATTTTAACTGCCTCTTCCTGGTGTTAAGTATTCTTTTTGTTTCCATTTCCTCTAAAACTTTGACGTTGCTCACATGTTTGGTAAATCTAACGGTATAAAGGCGGTTAAGTCTATTGGAATTGACACCCTGCCGGAAATCACTCGTCATTTGTATGCATAAATTTTGTTTGTCACTGCTTTTCGTCAAACTAGGAGTACCGTATCACATTACATTGTCGCATGAATAAAATAAAACTATGAACATATAAGAAAACATCTAAACTTCTATTAAAGATAATTTACAAATACAAAAGTAGAAAAAATGGATGATAATTATGTGGGAAAATTCATACAGCTATTTATTAGACAAGCAATGAATAGATGACTATTCTCTAAATACACTTTTCAGACTTTCCTATTAAGTTGCAAAATATTGTGCTGACAAATTTTGTATCAACTTAAAATATATTCATATATATATATATATATATATATATATATATATATATTATAGATACGCGAGTTTACTAAAAAAAATCCGTGAAACTGTCTTCCTTCTACGATTTTTGTAATTCTGCTCTTGTACTGCAAGAAGTTAATTGTGAAGGCAAGATGGATATTTTATTGAAATTGGATAAAGAAAACGTGGCGATAAAGTGAAAAAACTAAAACAAATCTGCAGAAAGAATAGGTTTCCGAAAGAAGTCACGACCTGCCTCTATGTGTTTGTGATTTACGTAGCATTTTATTTAAAGAAAGAAAAGAATGCCGTTAAGAAGAAAGAGAAAGAAAAACGTTATGTAAGAAATTGTTTCCAAGCAAAGAATCGACTTCAGTCAATGAGAAAGGATACACACACAAACACATATACAGTAGAATCCCTCATATCCGGAATCCCGCATATCCGGACATGATTTCGATGCGTATATTTGAACTATTTGGGTGATATGTAACTGATTTGAAATTTCTGTTTTTCAGGAAATTTAATTCCGATAATTGCTTATGCTTATATTAACCTAATGGCTTGTTTTGGTGCAAAAGATGATGGGAATAAGAGGAAAAGAACAACTTTGGAGTTATCGCAAAAAGTGGAAATTTTAACCGACTAAACGCTGGTGAAAGTTCCTTGTAACTAACTGCTGATTTCATCATAGAAAAGTCAACATTGTATGATATAAAATCTTCCAAAGAAACGATTCTCCAGCGTTCACGCTGTCACAATGTACAAGGAAATAAAAAACATGAAACCTGGACTGAAATTGAAAAAGCTATTGAAAAGTTTGTCAGTTTTATGGAAAGATAGTCAGCATTCAGCTATGACGATTGCAATAACGCACGCAAAGTTAAAAGGTATCTTACGTTTAAAAAATTTCAAGAACAAAAGCAAAACAAAATGCAGAAAAAGTTGAAAATGACATTAGAAGAGAAAGAATCATCATGCCACAATGTTGAAAATCCGCGTTACATTATTTGTTTTGCATACGTGGCATACTTAATTTAATGAATTTTCATTGACATTACATAACTTATTTCTTTTTCCTTAAAATCAGTTCCGCTATATTTTACTCACCATTAGCTTATTATGTTTATTATAAAACACTGAAAATAAATGCTAAACGTGATTTCATTTATTTATCTAAATATAACCCCTCATATCCGGACTTTGTAACCAATTCCTCATATCCGGAAGACCTTATTAGTCCAGTTGTCAGGATTCTAATATATATATATATATATATATATATATATATATATATATATATATTATTACTTAAATGTTATTTTTAATAGATGCTCGTATTTCAGGAGACGTTCCGTTTATTTATTAAACATCATATTTTTTTTTAATTTACCGCGCTGAATATGCGGTAAATCTTAATAGAAAAATATGCGCTCTCTAGCA